AAAATAAAACCACTGAAACTATATTAATCACACCTTTTACATAGTTATTCTTTTGTTTTCATGGGACAGACTGTTGCCATTAGCATTGCTGGGAAGTGAAAGGACATGATAGAACTCCAGATACAGAATTATTTATAACACTGGCCAAAAAGAGAGAGAGAGGAGGAGGCTGCATTTCTTCCCCTCTGCCTTCAACCAGCATCATCTGGCTACTGTTTTATCAAAAGCAGAACAAAATCAGCATGCTTTGGAACAAAAGGTTTCATCTTCACAACCGGCTGTCACTGTGCCACCATTTCTATAATAGCCCCTGTGAAAGCTACCATAAAATTTCTGTAGTACAATAACAACTAAATTTGGGACAGCATAACGTAAGCTGCATTTAATACTTAAGTAACTGAGCCACCCACCTCAAGGAAGTAGTGGCTCAACCAAAAATCCTAAAATTTTAAAGGGAGTCATGCCCTACCCGTGCTCATTAAACAGTATGGCAGTACATCATAGCTAACATTTTCAGAATATAAGCTATTTACTTACTCTCCATTAAAAACAAACAAACAAACAAACAAACAAACAATCTATCTTTATTGTAATGCTCTTGACAAAGAGGTGGTTTTGAATAAGGCTCCAACAGTAGTAGACTTAATGCTCAACTTAGGCTGTTCTTCTCTCCCACACAATGTTGAGAGCCTTGCTTGCTCTTTTTTTTTTTTTTTTGAGCCAACTTAATCACTACAAAACTTACTTGGCCACATGGTTAACTTGCCTTTAAAGTTGTTCCATTGTCTGTGCTTCTGTTTAAAACATTGACTTAACAGTTTTCACCACAGCTGGTAATAACCAGAGGGAATAAAATGTAATTTCCTGTTAAGAAAGAGGGAACAGGGGAGACACCTTATTAAGATGTACTATGGGTATACACAGAACAGTGCATGTGGCTATTTGTCACTGCTCAGAACTCAATCAGCAAGAAGTAACCCATACACTTCATTTAAGTGTGCAAAGAACACAAGCTGCAGAGACACTAACATTTGCTGCCCGCTTGATGAGCTTAAATCACTTGTTAGCTGCACACATGCCAGTATGGTTTTAAGCAGTTTCACCAGTTAAGGGTAAAATCCAACATACAATCGCATGGGTCTGAAGTAACCAAAACCTGAATCAACTCCTGCAAAGTCAGGCAGGAGATTTGTATTTATTTGGTCTGGTATTTATGATTAGGCAGTGTGTTGCTTATTTAGTTTCTGCTTTTTTGATCACAGGCATGTTGAGTTTACTCTCCTGTTACCCTAATGGGTCTTAATTTCTTCAGATGGCACAGCTGGGGCCCTTTAGCTTTAGTGTTTCTTCACTGCACAGCTACTACCTCTTTTTGGGGGACCCTTTTTAGTTATCCAGGTGTTCTCTCCTCCTTCACTTAGGGACCTTTTCCCATCCAAACAACGCATTTAAGCCAGAGGAAGAAAGAGGTAAAGTTACTGAAACTAGTAGTTCTTGCATTGTCCTTCAGCTCTCAAGCATTGCATGAATTAGGGCTAGTCTGAGCTCTTCCCCTCCGTTTCTGTATTTCAACACATTGAATAAAAAAAACAGGGATGGGAAAATTCCAGTTCACCAACAGGCAACTGCTTTCTGTAGCTGATACAATGCCTCTGCTGCAGCAACACTACAAATGGCAGAAGTATCCCTAGTGACATGCACGTGTTCAGCGCAAAGGAACTGCAGGAGGACAGGGCAAGATTAGAAACAAGCAAAAAGGCTGCTCCTATCTTAGTGGCTACATTTTGCCTAGACTTGTAGTTATAGGGCACAGTCCTTTCGATCTACCCTTGCTAAAAGCATTAGAAATCATTGACAACAACGGCAAGCAACTCAGTACAACTTTTCCTTTTGCCTTTCTTTTGAACAAGTTGCTTATAATTCTGTTGAAACATCCAGTCATTCAGGGATTGAAACTAATATCAACTCCATAAAAGAAAGCTGAAACAAACTTGCAGGCTGCTTCCCACTCCAAGGGCCTCTTGGATATGTACAGGAAATAAATTGAAGATTGAGATGTATTTTGCTGGGAAGCCAATCCCTGCCATTTGCTTTCTTGAAGATCCTGCAGCTCTATCACACAACAACCACTTACTGCAAGATCAAGCTACAACAGCACTCCATCACACCACGTATTTCTGGTTACCTACGAGGAACAGATCATGGCATACAGCTTAATGCAGGTCACAGTAAGGAGCAGTTTCTACAAGCTGCTGAACAGCTTCAGTTACACAGATCACATCTGTGACCTAAGTCACATAACTTTTCCAAAACAAAAAAAACACCTTTATTTTCTTTTACAAAAATACATATTTGCAGTTATGTGATAATAGGCTACCATAGTTTCTACCAGTTAACATGGTTGCAAGAAACTACACAGTGCTCCAGGTTAAATATTTAAGACAGTTTAGTTTAAGAATGGCCACTTATTAATTTCCAGACTAGAAATGCTATTCAGAGTGTGCAAAAAAATTGCAAGTTAGAAATTAATGCCAAAGTGGTGTAGTTTAAGTAGCGTAATAGATACATTAAACGTTTGGTCATGAAAAATTGTATACAAACCGTAACAGTATTAAAATACATATTTTCATAAAAATACTGTTGTGACACTTTGCATCTAAATAAGACCTTTTTTTCAGAAAGATGGAATGAAATATTTATCATATAAAAGCATTTCCTTATAGCAGGATTATAATGTCCTAAGTTTTAAAAAATTCTGTCCAAGCACTTAAAAGAAGAATTTATGGATAACTGTGATCCACTTGTCACGTAAGAGCCTATGCTGTGCGTACACCATAGCATTGCTTATTCTACTTGAAATAGGTCAAAGTAGAACATCGCATGTGGAGCGGCTGAATTCTTATATACCACTGAAGCTTGTCCAAGAAGATAAGCATCACGTTCTCGTTGCTTAACAAGCAAGAGGAAATTATTCTTTATGCATGTGTACTATATGCATATACTGAAGAATAACTTCATACTGCCATCTTATCTTGCCACAGTTTGACCTTTTCATAGGCTTCCTTCAGGTGAAGCCAAGAACATCTCCCTCCCACCCCATTTCCTCCTCAGAGACCCTACCGGTATAAGAAAACAAGAAAGAAAGAAAGGAAGGAAAAAAATTAACAGAAGCTGACTGCTACAATCTCCAACTGAAAGAGATTGTGTATCAGCTAACTACTGAAATCATTGATTTTTAAACTTGCTGTGTTTATTTCCTGTGATGAACACTATGTAGTTACATTTACACTAGTGATCCCTTTTAAATCCTGAATGTCAGCAGTTTAAAACCACCAATTAGAGTATCAGTACTTTGTATTTAATTAAGGCATGTGAATAAGAGCACCCTAATTATCTGACATTGCATAAAAGTGACTTTTCTCTTCAGGAAATATCTATCAGCTGCCTTCTCTTCTTTAAAGATACTAAAGTAATATAATCACTGGAAAGAGGGTAAGAAAGAGAAAACAAAGTTAAGAACTGATCTGATGCTTTCACTTGTCTGTGTGAGAATGCCCCTATTGAAACACTTTTGAAAGCAATGATCTACCAGTAAAATACCTCAAATATAATGTCCAATTCTGACCAAGTCACAAAATACGCCAGTTGGGCTTATCACCAGATAAAAGCGTAAGAAAAAAAATTAAAAACAATCAGATACTACATCAACATGACAGTACAGGATCAATTTTGCATAACCCTGAGTTATCATGATTGGGTATAGCAGCACCAGTTAAAAAATATTCTGCAATGCCAGCACTGCACTGTGGTCCTATACTATGGTACAGTTTCATATGCCCACAGATTTTCTTTAAGAGCACTTATTTCAAACATAATTAAACACAGGAATTTTTAGTTGCATTGGTATTTCAGTGGAAAAAATAGTGAAAAATAGCATAGCGGGCTATACTGTCGTATAGTCCATTTGTAGTGTTAATGTACTATTTAGAACTGTGTTCCAAACCTTGTATGCCACTGTCTTCTGTGAAACTACATTTGCCTTTTGTTTTCTGCACAGAAAACTCCCCCCCGTAGAAATCACGTTGTGCCAGTTTTGAGCAAAATGTCCTGTAAGTCATCTGGAAGCGCTAGTATAATATCATCAATGTGTGTCTGCAGCTTTTTCAGTGTGTCAGTTTTCACAGGAAGATGTTCTCTGTCAGCCTGCAGCTGCAAAAGTACAATAAAACACAATTTCAACTAGAAACCACAAGTTTACCTTAATACACTACCAAAATGACCTAGTCGCGGATCTGATTTGGAGAGACTTAATCACAAGAAAGTTTGGTTTTCTGCTTCCCTGAGGATTCAGTCTTCCTCTCACTGAGATCAGTCACAAAGTTCCAACTGGCTTTAACAAAACAAAGATGATGAAAATTGCTGGCTTCTGACACAGCTGGTTAATGGTGGGAAGCTTTGGGATTGCGAAAGCATAGTAAGAAGGAGATCACTAACTTAATCAGAGGAAATCACTCACTTAGGTACTGAAAACTGAACTTCTCAGGCACGGTTGAACTGAACTATTTTTCATTTAGTAACCTGGATGACTGATCCCTTGAACTACCTAGATCTTAAAGCATATTTTCACTTGAAGTATCTGTAATCACACTATTTCATACTGCTATCTAGTTAAATAAGGCAAGTTTTAGCCACATTCAATTGAGTTACTTACCAGTTTATTCTTTAGCTTTAAGACAAGATCCACTGTTTCTACTTCAGTATGCTTCTGACTCCAGAAAACCAAATTCTAACAGAATAAAAATTAAGTATTGAAATATTTATGGCAATACATATAATTTTCAAAAGTAGGATTTATTTACATCTACTGTTCAGAATAGGTCTTCTCCTTTTCCTTATTCTCATGCCATTTACTAAGTGCATTTTACTCATCTACTACTCTAGCGTGAACTGCAAGATCTGTTTTATTTGCATGTTTGCCTAGCGCTTACCATAATAGCCGACTAGGGCATAAGCACAACACCAACAAATACCTATACGCAAAAAAAGAGTGCTAAATAGGCGTAGTTTCAAAAATAGCCTCTACAATGCAAAATACCAGTGAATGATTATTAAATTAGATCTGCCAGCACGATGAAAGATTAAAATAGTGCCAAGCTGCACTTCTTGTTTCTAGGGCATTAAAGGAGATCTACCACACAGCAGATAACTAGTAAAATATACTCATTACATGAATGAGTATACAAGTTCTGTTCCTCTCCCCCTTTACTATTCACCTACTAAAGACATTTGCTCTTGCACAAAAACATGTAAACCTTGGATCAAAAGAACAAAGCTAATAAGGAGCGGTATCAGTAATAAATTTGTTACGTTCATCCTTTCCTTGGTAATAAATTAGTGACAAAATTAGTGACAAATATAGTTGGATAGATTCTAGGTGATACAGTTGACCTAGCTATTGCTCTGCAAACTATTTGGGCTGCTCTATTTAAACAATCTATTTTGGTTGCTGCAATGTACTGTTTGGGAATTGACAAGGCTAAGGGATAGAAATCAATTGTTTTTTGTTTTTTTCCTTTTTTAAATCACCAGTCAACTTTTTTTTAAGCTATAGCGTTGACTTATTTCGTTCTCTCTATTCGCTGTATATCCTGCCGTCCTACCATGTGTTTTCCTCTTGTAATATTTTTATTTTGGCCTGCTGTTCCTACTCAAATAAACAGCTGAAGTGGGTATCAGCATGACCTACAGAAAGGATCTTATAACATAAGATCATTTATATGGCATTTTGTTAAATACCAGTAACAGATTTCACTTCTCAGTTTCCAATTAATATGAATCAGCTCTAGTTCAGTTCTGGATACTATCAGTATCTAATCAGTTGTCAATTTTCTATGGTACTCAGTGAATTTATACTTATAAAAAAAAATTAAAACACTTAGTAGTGATACAGTATATGCCAAATGAAATATCAGGGAAGGAAGCTGAATAAGATAACAGTATCAAGTAGGAGGAAAAAACAGTTTTGGGAGAGAAAAAAAAGTCAATTTCAAAACATATAACAGGGCAAAAAATGGACTGAATATACATTTTACAAATGGTGACAGTCATTATAATAAGTGAACTGTATTTCATAATGTTCTCTTTTGCCATGTTAGTTCTAGTCTATACTTGGCTAACTAATTCATATTTTAATCAGACTTGACAAGGTCATCAACATTTTTATGTGCACAAACAATGTAAACAGTAGCAATAAAATTGACATGAAGGAGAATTTTAATATAAGATAAGTTATCATCATAAATACACATTTACCAACCTCATTACAGAGTGCTTCTAAATGAAGGGCCTCCAGCTTCTGTGTCATTTCTTTCTGCCGGCTCCTAAACCAACCATCAAAGTTTGGCGATTTCAAAAAATGCCTGATAAAACACAAAAGCAAAACAATTTGTATATTTTAATTACAATTCTGATACCACTCTTTTTTCTGTGCCATCAGCTCACAATTATAAAGAAATTGTGTTGGAGTCTGAAGAAAGTATTAGGACTATTTCTCCGTTTTCTTTCAGAAAAACATTCCAAAGCCGAATACAACAGGGGCTTCTATTAATCCAGAAAATGATTGAGAAAACTGAAGACAAGTGTCTAAAAGACAATAAAAGTAAGGAATCTTGGCAGGATAAAAGCAACGATGAGTTTTTAAAAGCCTTGGTTTTTAATCTTTGTGTTTGACTGGAAGGAGGAATCAAGTTAGAACAGGAAAAAAACCCACAAATACTACTGGTATATAGAGACCTATAGTGTTAGTAGCATTTTATGAAAACCACTAAAAGGTTATGGAGAAACCAATTTAAGTGGATATTAAAAGCCTGCTAAGGACTAGCAATTCCTATTAAAGCATATATTTCAAAAGTAAGTCTTACAAATAAATATTCAAATCAACACAGACAGCAAGTTTGCTCAAGCATGCATATTACTGATTTGTCTTCATTTACGTTCAGTTTAATTTCTTATGTTGATTAAAAAAAAAAAAAAAAAACCTGTAAAGTCCTATCCAGTCTCCTTTTAAACCTGAAGTGAGCTGTGGTCCTGCTTTCTCCAGTGTCTTCATGAAGTCCTCTTGGCTAAACTGTCTCAGCTGTGGTGGACTCTACGGAAAGAGAAAAAAAAAAAGATAAATTAGCATAGCATAACTTTTTTTCTCTAATCACCAATTTCCAGCTCATTGCAGTTATATATCCTTACCTTCCATGGTGATATACTTTTTTGCAAAGGCATTAGACTTGCCACGTAACGTTCCTAGGGAAAGGTAAAAGAAAGGTTGTTTACATAACCCATACTTAAGATACACAGTCCATATGCATGTTTACTTATCACTTGTGACCAGAGCTTTCTTAGCATGTTTAGCACATGCGTGTATAAGAAGGAGCTTATCTGATCCCGTTTGGATTCCTCAACTATAGAACCTCACATCAGCAAGATTCAAGAAGGACTTTGAGGGGAAAGGGAAAGGGAAAAGAGGGCAGGAAGCAAACATAATATATTGAGTATACAACCTGAACTCCAGCTACTAGTAAATAAACTCTCTTCCCATTTTAGTGTCAGTCCACAGGTACCTTCATATCGGGTGACTGCAAGCACTAATCCCACATTGTATCAAGTATCTGGAAGCGGATTTTAGAGTCCCTCAATAAAAACATTACCTACAGAATTGCCCTGCCAAATGCTGTATCAGCTCTGGACATCCCTAAAGTGGCAATGCTTGGCAAAAGCACAGCTAGAGCTCCAGATGGCTACTTAACATTATCAGCAGTGGAAACATTTCTCAGCAAGGCCACCGTTGAAGCTTAAGTGCTGATGACAGGAGGCAGCTCCACCTTGCCAGCTGACATAAGCTCATCAATACAATCTCAATACAATCTGCTAACCATTTTGAAAGTCTTTGTGGGCAAATGGCTGTGCCTTTTGATCTATGAACATAATCAGCTTTGATAACATTATGGAACTCTAGTTCTATCTTTTGAAAAAAGAAACTCCCACCCCATATACTTGAAGCAGAGAATCTAAGGGATGATTTCACCCTGAAAGCATAAGGCTTATGAAAGAAAATGAATCAAGTTTCTTGCTTGAAGTAAAAGTTTGAGTAAGGTGGGGGGAATGCCAGGGAAAGGTTTTAGGTTCAACCTATATGCCCATCCCGTCTCAAAAGAACAGGAGAGAGAAAAAATAAACAATATTCATTTGTCAAGGTGAAGGTTTGTCAGGAGCCTGCAACCAGTACAGCAAGATTTCAATTTACAGGGTTGGAAAGTTTTTACTGTAACATTAGATATGAATTAGTATTTTTAAATTTATTTCAGTAAGTTGAGAACTCTGTCCAAAAGAAAGAACGATCTGGTGAATGAATATGAAGCATCCCAACAATCTCTACTGCCAAGACAAATGAGACAAAATTTGTCCCCCAACCTAAGGCTTAGAGATTTGAATAGCTTAAGTATCATATTCATAGAGTAAGACACCTAATATTTGTGTGATTAACCAAAAAAAGAAAAACCAAACAAAAATATGCATTCCCTGAACAGCAGGATGCTGCACAAGAAATGTATCCAATCTACTGGAAAGGTATTTTCTGTGTGATGCCCTGATAAGATACGAAGTAGACACACGGAAGGTTGAGATGGAAACCAGTCTTTTCTCTGTAACATTATAAATAGCAGCTTTTAGAGTCATTTGAATTTGCAAGCAGCTTTCTGGGAATCACTTTTGTAGCCCCCAAAACCAGAAGAAAATATCTCCTGATACAGCAAACTTAAGAATCAGTCCTTTACAGGAATAGCACATAGAAGCTGCAGGAAGGAATACAGAACAGTCTTGAGATGTACTCTCTGGAAACCATTCTAATGAGATTCAGAGAAAAAACAATGCAGCTTATCAGAGAGAGAGACAGAGAAAGATAAATCAACAAAACCAGAAGAATTCCTGCTTCGAAAGCTATGGTTGAAGGAACTAGATGCCATTAGTCCCAATATTAACCTTCAGATCACCTGGACCAGTCTCTACGACACTTTACAGCAAGAACTGGAGGCTCTTTGCTGAGGTGGAGACATAAAACAAGATGAAAATTCTGAAAGCTTTCAATGCTGTTTTGGGATTTTTTTTTTCCCCCCGAGATATAAAACTGAATTAGGTTTATGGCCAAACAGAGGCATGGCTGAGAAATGGCAAGTCACCATGAAAATACTTTATAGTTCCAAAATCCAAGGTTTGGGGCAAGCAGCTTTGTGCCTGCTCACTGCAGTCACCAGATACCATACCCACTGCCTCTGGGGGGCAGGCTAAAGCATGAGACTAAAACAAAGCGTTCTGTAGAATCAGGGGACATAAGAGTGTATCGAATTTGTCCAAAAGCTTATGCTTATACTTGTAAAGCAAGGTCTGATATTTAGCCATATATTCAAAGTTGACCTTGCTTTAAGTGGAAGGTTGGACCACCTGTCCCCTCTAACCTATACTCATCTTTGATTTTCTCATCTAATCAAAAGCTCTGTGCTTGAATATCATTTTTTCCCCCAAAGGTATGTAGGTGTTTGAGATATCCATCTATACTGAATTTCATTTGCCCAGGTTTCTCTGAAACAGCAGTAACAAAGTAAAGGGAGAACAGGTAAGAGAAGAGCAAATTCTGTGGCTCCTGCAGAAACGTCATATTGTTCATTAACATTTTTTGACAGGAGCACAACTAAAGCTAAACTTCATAACAATCCTTCTGCCAGTTCTAGATGTTCTGAATCCAAGTGCAGACGCTGCCTTTTCTTCATAAGTCTGCTGTAGCTTTTGTTTATATTTGAAGTAGGCACAAGATTTAAAGGAGTCCTACAAATACTGCAGTAATACGAGAAAAACCTGCCCTGAGGCCACAAAACAACTACCCAGGGAGGTTTGCTTGATGAAGTTTTTCTACTGCAGGTAATGCAATTGCAATAAATAAATAAATAAATAAATTTGCCTTCAGAGAAACCGTTCTCTGAAAGTCAGATGGAGCATAGGGAAAAACATAGTTGCAAAGATAAGGGAGTGTGCAGGGAAGAAGTCAATTCACTGTCTAGAAGACTAGTGGTGGAACACACTGTCTTGACCAGGCAGGTGAAAAGACCCTAAATGTTTTGGATGCCCCTTCTCATGCCAAACGTAAGAACAGTCAGTGCACAAATATGACCTGAAAAGGGAAAAATTCTCTGAACTTTGAAGATTCATCCAGAAAAGAAGTACATGTGGATTATCACCATAAGACACAACAAATATTTAAGGGAAAAAAATTTGGAATCAGTATAACTTGCCAGATCAGCCAGTCAATCTTTCTCATGTTAGTAGAAAGATTAACTTGTAACCTCCTAGCCACCATGACGAATTACTACAAAAGCCTACACCTATACAAAGCTTGTCATCACAAAATACTTTCCAACTCTACCTTTTCAATATTTACACTTCTCCAGTTCAGGGGAGATACCCATACACTTAGATGCAAAAAATATTGAACAATGTAAAGGAAAGGGACGTGAATTTCAAACACTGAGGAAGAATTACAGATTTCCTTCTTACTCTGTGTTAAAAAAAAAAAAAACAAAGCTAAGAAATAATAAAAATACATACATAGTTTTGCTTTGCATAAATGCTATACAATACATCACAAGTGAAAATGTTGTCTAGCAACATATACAGAGAAGCATTCCCTTTTGAGATCTAAGGCTGTCGTTTGGGTGTATAAATGTTTCATATTAGCACTAAAATACTGAAGGCAGTAGCTTAATGTCTAAGTGTCATAATTAAAGAAATGTAAGATTACCGCACTTTAGAAAAGTCAATACACAGCTTGAATTTCTCTAGCTCAAATATAATTCACCTGCACTAATGCTAGAACAAAAAACATAAAACCCCACCAAATCTATCCCATATTATATATAAAAAACCCATTGGTGTAGCAACTTACTAATGGAATAATGAAACTTTCCGTCAATTCCAAAAAATAACGCCGAAGAATCACACTCTGTGCTTCTGTGGGACGTTTCTGCTGTACACCCTTTAAAAAGAAATCACAGTACAAGTCTGTTACCTCAAAATATGTAAATATGGATTTTTTTAAAAATAATTATTCCAGTATTTCTGTATTCATTTGCCATAAGCTTACATATAGCACCGCTCACCCTGAACCATTAAAGCAAAGCAACTGCATCAAGTACTTGAGCACAGATATTCATCCCTTCTTTGGCTGTTACTTTTTACATAAATTTTAGTATCAAATTCATATAGGAAAGGAAAGATAAATTTCTATAAATAAACTTTTGTTTAAGTCAAAATTTGGAAGCTCTGATTCTTGAAAATCTCATGCGTGAGATTTCTAGATCAAAGAGACCAGGGGTGTGGAGCAGAGACTCCAACAACCCAAAACCCAGATGAATCAATCAGTCATTTAAATTCCCTGAACTAAACTGACACCTTCAGTATCACCATTCACGTTGTTATAGAAATTGCTAACAAAAAGGCAGAGGCATGTAAATATCCTCATTCCTTCTAGAATATGTATATTTATGTATATGTTCAGTTATGAACCAGGGTGTCGAGAAATCAAAATTATTTTAGGTATGTAGACAGATCAACCCTAAATGAAAAAAGCAGCATAGGAGAGTATACAAAATTTCTATTAAGAACAGACTTGAAGTATTACCTTTTGTAAATGTTTAATGATTTCTTCATCTTTATTCAAATATGGCTTATAAGACGTATAAACCCCTAAAAAGGAGGGGAAACAAAAAAAAAAAAGGAAGAATAAAGAAGCAGTATACAACGAAAGGAAAAACGGGGTATGCTTTTTTAAGCTAGAAAATACGGGATGCTTCAGCTCCAAAGCAATTTATTACCAGGTTTTGAGTCCAAAGTTTTTAGGTTCTTCAGTTTTTTCACTTTCACCTGCTTTGGAACTTCACCTGCCAAAACATTTAAAGCCACCTTACTAGAAATCTTCATTCCTAATATAAAGACTAAAATTAATACGTTATACATTGCACTGATTTCTTATGAGCTGACAGTTCTATTTAGAAGTCAATCTAATATAATAAGAGGCATCAAAAACAAACAAGCATCCAAGAACATATCCAAAAACATGCAGTAAACAGACAAATAACACCCTACAGGCTTTTCATTTTATATAAGGGCTCTCTGTCAAAAAGAAAAAAGAGAAAAAAAGGAAAAAAAAAGGAAAATAATGAAGAAAAAGACCTTCTGAACCAAAGCAGCCAAAGAAAAATACTGCCTGTATAGCAGTGAATATTTGTTTCATTAATGTCAAATTTTATTCCATCTTCCTTCATTTCTGTTTAGGTGAATGCTTTCAGGAACGAGTCTTTCGTACCTTGACCAAAATAACAATTGTTATGTATACAGAAGTTAAACAGTAGCCATGAACTAAGAATATGATTTCAAATCTCCTTCGCAATAGGTTTTGGTCAGATATATCCTTCTCCAGCCAGATATATCTTCCTCCAGTCTCTTAAATCCTACAGAACTTAGCTTTTAGATCTAGCTGGATGCTAGACTTCAGAAAAAATAACAGTATAAATTACTACTGAAACTGCCAGGGTGAGTGGAAAAGAAACAACATCACAACCCCTCTCTTTGTCCCTGAAGAAATAAACCTGAAATTTTTAAAGGCAGGTGAGACAGACATCTCTGGAACTTCCTGACTAAGCAAATCACGTATCTGCACCAAAACCTCAGAATTTCATCCTTGAAACTGCATATTAATTTTAAGGGCAACCTGTACATATGGCTAAATGGAGGTTTGATAATTTAAGATTTTTATTTTTTTTTTTTTTTACCTCCCAATTTCCTACACATCAGCTAGCTGTTTTCCAAAACTGGTATTCTGAAGTACAGGCCAGCGTGATATTTTTAAGTTTAATGTAAGGTAAACAAAAAATTGCCTAATTACATTGAAGACAGTACCTAACGCTGAACTAATTTAGTATACTTCGACATGGAACATAACATAATATGACATTAAGTTTTGTAGAATAGTTATTCTAACTGGATAGCTATGAACTCTCACTTTCAAAGTAGAAGAGTGAACCTGTCACAGTAAATAGCTAAGCTCAGGAACTTCATTTCATAATTATAGTACCACAGGATTCTATTACAGGCCGACAATTCATATGCCACCCAAAGTTTAAAATAAAGTCCTGCTCACGTAAGGAAATCATCCAACTTGAACAATCAACAATGACTAGGCTACTGCAAGATTAGAATTATTTTATTAAAATGCTGTCAGCAGTCATCTTTTTATAATACTGTAACATTAACATGAGTCTTATTTTCTGTGCACTTGCTGTGACTAATTTATTACATTCTACTCATCCTAAAATTAACATCAGAAATAAATTATGTTTCTCTGTATATTACCTTATTGGTAGAGAGACAAAACCAGGATTGCGTGAAAGTTTAGACAAAACATTACTACTACTGAGTATTACTACCTTTTACATGTAAGATATTAGGATTTGGCAGTATAAGACATACAGTACTAAAGAGCTCAATTTCATCTAACAGATATTCATCTGCGAGAACTTAGTTGGCATTGTTTTATTCCTTAAACTAAATTCTATATGTCGGTTAATAAGCACACAGATAGAGCTATCCCGCTAATGAACTCCTGGACAGCAAATAAGGTCATAATGTATTTTTAGATCTTGTAGTACAGGACTGTAGCAGAATCTGTATCTTACCTGGAAGTTTAATATCTCCAATTCGGATAATGTGGGGCCAGTGCTGGAGTGTTTTAGCAAAAAAAGGATTTGTCACCCCTAAAATGACAGATGGTCTAGAAATATAGAGATAATGTTTAAAATATAACACAATTATTACATTATTTTGCTTTTGCACTTATTTTTTTAAGAGTTACACATGAAGTTACATGTAAGAGCACGATAAGTTTATCAGAGTTTCTAAAACTTATAGAATGGCAGAACAGATGCATCTTATTTAAAGTCCAAACCGTAGCAGAGAATAAAAGTTCTTCACAGATTCTTGGCTAAATTTTGCCCACTCGCACTAATGAAAACAGAATATTATCTGAATTATCGCTATTTTGTTAAATGATCAGGAATCTGACCATATATTAGAAAGACAGGCTACTATTTTTTAAGGTTTTATTATGACAAAACACTTGGTACTTGACTGTGCACATCAATATGACTGTCATGTGTGCAAGACTTCTCATCTGAGCTACTGCTCAGATGACAAGAATAAGGAGACACATGTACTATTTTACTTCCTTCCCAACACCTTATTGCTCTTCGTTAAAAAGCAGTTATCAAGTGGTGAAGCACAGGCACGTTACTAGCAAAGCATTAACCCAAAGCTCACAAGCTGTAAGATTTTCTGTCTGCACTGTGTGCAGATACTTCTGAGGTAGTAACATCAGCCCTAAAACAGAATTTGGGATTTATAAAGCTAATATGGAGAAATAACACCACATATTTTGGTACAGCGGCTGCCATCCATTTTGTAGCTAAATGTTAGCAGATGAGAGAGCATTACTGCTAGCCCCATTGGAACTGCTATACTAAAAACAGGTTGTCACTTCTTCAGACTGATTTTACAAATCCCAAATTTTATCACTTTCTGTACACCAGCCTTAAAAAGTTCCCTGTTTCTCAAGGCAAGGTGGGGAGGAAAGGAAACAGCAAGTAATCTTTCTTTAAATTTGTATTCCATTCTTCCAGTTGCGCCATGATGACAACTAGGCATCAAGTTCTATGTTAACCTACAAATGCTTTTGACTTTCCCTCCTTCCTCCACTTACTAATTATAACAATATGCATTTAAAAAAACGTATTAGGAATTCACAGATACAACGAAAACCTGATCACACAGCTCTGTAACTTAGTATAACGTCTGGACTGTCAAATAAAAATTTTCATCTCTCAACTCTACGACACCTTAGAATGATCAACAACAAAATGCATCGGTTTCTCTGACATCTTTTCTTGCTTGTCACTGAACTCAACCTTCACCAGCACATAATTTATTCTCAATATTACTGCTATTCGAGTATAATCGCCTGAAAACATTTTATTCCAGATATTTATTATATGTATTTTTTCCTCCACTCACTTGAATTTTCTGCTGTTTCTATAATCTTGTTAATCTCACTTGTACTAGTCATATAAATTCACTGAGACTTGCAAACGTTGTTTGTGATTTTTCAGTGCTACTATACACAATTTAAATCTTTTCTTCCAAAACAATGACAAAGACAGCATCCATAAAAGGTCTCAATACATTCTTTTGTTGTACTCTGAAAACTAAGTTTATGACCGTTTATGTTCTTTTCATGCTCAAGTCAAATAATGAAATCAAGCTAAGAAACAAACTGAATGACTGAAAAGATCACAAACGATAGACGATCTTCCTTCTCCCTAGGAATGGACCAAGACTAGCCAAGTCTAACTTAAAATAGCTATCAAATCATCTCACATCTTTACTCTGGGAAGTAAAAGGCAAGTTTTGGACGCAATTGGTTTGGACCAATGTATATGAACTGAACTAAAGAATTTAAGACCTAAAATTATTTTACTAATTGCAGAAGACCAAAGGTTAAAGTAAATCATCTGTTCACACAAAAAAATTATCCAGGTCAAGGTACATTAGTAGCAAATCATGAGGAATATTATTCCATTGCTACTGGTGATACAATAGCAAGAATTTGTAGAAAGCTACTTGGTATCTTTTTGGAGCCTTAATCTATTGTATTCTCCAGAAGAAATTCTGTTTTTAAACCACTGCAGTAATTTCTGGAAAGAGCATAATAAATCAAAACACCCCTTGCTCCTTTCTCCCGGAAGAAAATACACAGAATCTGCATCATCTGAATTCTTTCTCTCTTTCTTAGAGTCATTGCTTTAAAAGCCTCTTTCTGATTTTTATAGATTTTAACAAAGAAGCCAGACGGATTTTAGCTCCATTTCAAATACTAGTAAACAACCTTTCTACTCTGCTATACCTGAGTAGATGCAATTTTTAAACATTTTTTAACACTAAAGTTTAGCCAAATTCTTCTCTGAATTATTTTCAGAAACTAAACTACATACTACATAACCAGTCTCATGGAATACAATCTCATACATAATGTCTATGTTTGGATATTTTTCTACTGCTGTATTTCTGGAAATAGGTTTTTTTGGAGAGGAAAAAAAACATCACAGAGTTAAAAAAATCTTAACCTAACAGTCATTGTCTGTTCAGACATTAGAAGACATTTGTTCAAAAAAAAAAAAAAAAAAAGATCGTCGAATCTAACTATATAATCCATTCCCAAATCAAGTTTAATTTCAGTAACTTATATTATGAAGAAATATTTTGATACTCATCCTCTTACAACAAGAGTATGATTAAAAAAGTGAAGGAGCAAAGTAATCCTTAAGGCAGTTTCACAGACTTTTCTGTAGAAGATTTGAGACTCATGTTCTTCAAAAAGGATCTTAATTTCTGAAGTATTTAAAACATTTTTCTAATAAATTTAGTGAAAAGATGCACTTTTAAGAGGATAGTCTCAACCAGGACACCATCTAGATTAACTTGCAAAACAGCTGTGCGGATGCTAGATTTTAAAAGTCACTTTGTTCAGTAATTACTTCAAGATAAAAAGTGATTACAGAACAGAATTTCCACAGAGCTATTTTAGAGCAGATATCGCATAGGCAAAGCCTGGCTGAACAGCAAAAATGCATCTTGCTTTCATATTTCCAGTTTTACTTACTCTGCACCCAAGAAATCGGTTAAGCTCAGAGTAGTTTAATTATGAGATAATGTCAGTTATTTATGGCATTGTTTCATAACTTCTCTAGCCTACCTAATTGGAGAGACTACTTAAAATAGTTAATTACTGTATTCCGTAAGACAAGCCTTATTTATAATTTTAAGCAACACCTCCACAACAAATCCAGTTTACTTACGGGGCTTGTGTACGAGTTGTATATTCTTTAAATTCACTGTCATGTATGGTAAAGTATGGCCTGAAATCACTGCAGTACTTTAACGGTGAAATACAACTGCAGAGTAAAAAGAGGATAAGCTTATTGTACGCATACAATGCAAAATGTCATGAAAGAATACGCAAATCTAAAATGTGTAAGTCTGTTAGATTCAGATCAACTGAAGCCGCATTCAGCTGCAAGCTGCAACGACTCACTCAGTTGTTAGTTTGGAAGCTCCGCTGTATTTACCTAACAAGCGCTAATACAGTTTCTGAAGATTCAGATGGTGATGGTGCCATCACAACAAGTGGTTCTCCTAGCAATACTAGTTCCCAGAGCATCTGAATGTGAAAGAATACTGGACAGAAACACCTAAAAACAGATTAAAAGATTTTAATACACTTCACATAACTAAAAGATATAGGTATTTGATTAAGTGACAGAAGTGCATAAAAAAAGGAAGTTTCAAGTAGCATGCAATAATCACTTGAAACAATAAAATATTACTGCAAAAGGGAACATTTAAAGAACTTGCTTTTATTTACTGCTGTTTCAACCCGTGTGTTGTCTGAACTGTTTTTTAGCCAGCTTGACAGGAAGAAGAGTATTAAAAATAACACTGCTTTCGTTTGCAAGTAAAGTTTGAGTTCTGTGTTATGGAACTCTATTAGTCTAGTTATTAGTTATAGAACTAGTTATTAGTTGTAGAAATTCACAACTAGGGATAAATCAGTCCAAACTCCTACCTGAAAAGGTCTACTTCATGAACAGTAGGTAAGGCCATGGAGATTTGTGCATCTGCCTAAAAGACATCGCAATGCTAGTTTTTTAGTCACCATAATAAAGCAAGTATTAATTAATACAGTTTCCTTTAAATGCTTACAGTCAGTAAATCATATGTACCATAAATATGTACTACTACAACAGTAACTATTTGCTTAAAAGCAAGATTTGTCTCCCGATTACGGACACATGACTTTCAGTCCAGAAACAATACAAAACACTTAAGCTGTTTCAAGCCACGGTCACACAGCATATGAAGGCACAGACAGACTTGGTTTTGTATCTATCTTCTAGGCTAAGTAAATATTTTTAATGTTTGTTTTTTTGTCATCCAAAAAAACTATGGTTTAGTATAGTTTCACTCATGGAAAGGACGTTCAAGTTAAGCGATTCTGTTAGTCAACCATCCTCTTCTTCCATGGGTTGGACAACTATTGTCCTCTCCTAAGGTGCCTGAGATAACTGGGTTAAAATAGCTTTTCCATGAGGAATTCAATCCTAGACTCTTCTACTCAGTTTCAAAGACTGCGGATTTCATTATTACAAAGCGTACGAGGACCTGCTTCCAATCTTTTATGGAGAAGTTAGTTTAACGAGAACGAAGGCAGCTATTTATCATGGTGATGTATACAACAGCAATATCTAATCTCTACCTGGTGCATATTCTGTACTATTTGGGTTGTTCCAGGCTTGTCACGGTATGTTGGAATCCGCAACTTTGGAAGAAAGAAAGAAAAAAAATTTCTTTTCCTTGTATCTAATCCAGCAGAGACTAAGAATACTTATGGACAAGATGTAACATTTAAAGAGGATGTAACACAATATGATTCTTAACTCACTCTATTGAACATTCACATGACAATGAATACATAGCTAAAGACTGCAGATCGTTGCTACAGGAATTAATACACTGTCCTATGTAGTATTATATTATTAAATTGAACATTAGAACATGAAAATTATACTTCAGTTAAAACAAGAAGTGTTACTGTTAACATTAGTCATAACTATTACAATAAATAAAAATCAAAATGTTTTCATAGTAAAGAGAAACATCTGAAGTAAAGTTATGGGGTACTGCATTGGTACAGGTATCTTTTCCTGACCTCACACTCTGCACCTGTTAGTCTTGCATTACTACAGATTTAATCACATCAGAGGCTGGGGTGGGCAAGTGGATCTAACATATAAGTGATGATTAAACTAACTGCCCAAACAGTGGGGGGGGGGGGGAAGCAAACAGTGATGATACTACTGAAGACAGAAATTAGGGCTTCACTGAGTTTAGGAACGCAATCTCAGCTCTCATGGGTGAGAACTACTAACGAGATGAACGTAGGCAATTCCCAAACAAGACGTATCTGACACTCACCATCATCACCCAGCATCCAGAACAATGCCTCATTAAATTTTTTCTTACAGAATAGCTTCAGAAGCTTTCCCTTCCTCTACCTGGTGATGCACGTGCCTTCGCCATAAGCTTGAAAGGATCTGCTCAGAATTTACTTCCAGCTGTAATCTCTAGATGCATTAAGTTCATTTAATTCCATTCCATATGAAGATACTATGACTCCCAGAGGCCCAGTTCTTAGCCATCCTTTAACCGCTACAGTTCTTCTCCACGAACTAGATACAGCTTTAATAGCTTTCTTCAGACTTACTACACTTGTATTGAAAGTCAGCAACAGCCACAAAATTAAACTCTGGCATGGGAGCCAAAATAGGGAGTGTTTTTGGTCAAACTTCAGAGACAAGAATGATTTTCATTGATATGTTCCATTTACTTAACTGGAATTTAACTCTCAATATTTGAAGTTTTATGTAACGCTTGATAGCACAAATAAAATTAGCATTGAAGCCTCTCAATGCATATGCCAGAGAAATAATGTTGAAATGACAATTATTAGTAAAATTTAGAAGATTCAGAAATGAGTTATGTTGAAACATTTCTTCTGTCTACATAAACTACATATTAACCCATGCACCAACATTAAATAAAAGAATAAAATATATATATATATATATAAAAGTTAAGGAACCTAATCAAGATTTCTCCAGCCCTCACTGAGTGGAGTTTATGTCTATTCCTGTTCTGAAGAACGAGACACTGAAAACAAAGCAGAATACACTGAATACATATACAGTAAGTGGAGAGGAAAAAAACTCAAAAAAAAACTCAAAAAAAAGAGTATTTACCTTCATTATAATACCCATAATGGGCAAATGTAGTATTTCCCCTGGAATTGGGGGTGGCCAACGATCAACATCACTACAAACTTAAGAAAAAAAAATATATCGTATACTTTATAGCTATTTCATACATGCTGCAACCCATGATATTGTAGTCAACTTTGTACGTAGAGACATCTTAAGTTAATGCTGATATCCCCCAACCTTTCTACTTATGTTTTGTGCAGTCCATACTCTAAGGAAATGTTATTGCATTTTTCACATTCTTAATGTGCTATTTCAGTAGAACTATAAGAAGTTATTGATTTCAAGAAAATGGTACCATCTTGTTTTCTATTTTTTGTAGCAACCAGACTCACAATCAGTTTAAGAAACATGCTGCAAGAGAATTCATGCAAGTACATCTTAAGAAACTTTGAAAAGAGCACATACAATTATGTAAGTTAGCTGTTGAACAGACAAACCCAAGTAGTTTAGAAAAAGGAAAAAATAAATCTTAAGAGATGTAGAAATAGCTTGACTAGGAAGCTTTTCAGCGTTTTGTCATAAACAGCTATGTATATTATTCTAGCAGTTTCTGCAGACCTTTTCTTATGAAAAATTGTATTATGAACAAGATAAAACCTGTTTATCTACAGGTAATTAAAAAATACAACCCTTATCAAAAACAATTTCCACAAATTGCTGCTCAGTGGAAGAATAAGAACACTGTTGTATGGGGTAAAGCGGTACAAAGAATACAGCACTTTCGGGCAAAGAGCAAATAATTTTCCCATTTAGCCCCCTTCGGCACTTAAAAAAAAAAAAAAAAGGCGCTAGAGTAAGACCAAAGCACCTGTAAGTGCTGCTCTCTTGCTTTTCCTTTTCTGGAAATGATCCGGGATTAGATTAGTTCTTTTAAATCATCTAGAAAACAAGCCAGTTTCCTAAAGTTTCAGCACTCTGTTCTGAATGAAGACAGACATGCAAACTAGAATGGGACAGTGTTGTTTGTTATTTCTCCAAAACAAACACAATGGTACTTTAGGAGCTCTTCCAGAACAATGTAATAGTGCCACTACCTGCTTCCAGGAAAGCTTCACTTTTTTCAAAATATTCTGGTGCTATTCGCTTAAGCACAGTGCGAAAGAGGTGGACGTATGGTAGTTTGCTGATGAGGACCAAGGACTGGAATAAAGAGTAACAAAACAGTCTATAAAAATACGGTTTTAAGTTAAACTCCTCTCCCAACAGAACTTTCAGTTCTACCAGTAATTCTCATAAAGCATCAAGTGAACTCTTCAAACAAACAAGTCAACCACACGCTTAACTATAGGCAACCGCAAACGAACAGTTCCCAAGAGTTCCAAACTTATTGCTTTAATACAAAATAAGGTTTTGTACTGAGAGGGCAGCTGGAATGTAGTATTATTAATGCAAAGTTTGACCAGTTTACTATAAATCACAAAGAATTTAGTAACAGCCATACCTGCAAAAAATAACTATGAACTACCCATTACAGACTATTCTTCCGGGTGACTAAACGTCACACAAATTATTCCTGGGCTTCATACAGACTTAGTAAACAAAACGTACTGTGAAAACACAATAATTACTACATATTTTTCCTTTCCACTTCCCATTCAAAGCTACCTAACTCTCACTCAAATGACCGGTAACAGCAGAAGCAAAATTGTTAAGAGATCAAGATACTCATCCTGTTTCCCCTAAGACACTGAAAATAACCAGCTGTGGAATTAATATGTTGCCAAGTTAATTTAAATTACCTTCTGGAAATAGCCTCTTTTTAACGATTTGTCTCGAACTTGTCTGAAATATACGTAGCCATAGTAATATGCTGGATCCTTCTGCAAAAGAATCAAAAGAATTCAATACAACCTGATATCATCTTTCTTTTTGAGCAGGAGCAAGCTCATTTCCTTACAAGCTCTGAAGCTGATTAGATGTAATAAACTATAAGGATTATCTTTTCTATTGGCATTAAAATTTTTTGTAACTCCTTTGAAGAGAAAGCAACAGTGTGTGGAAGTAACTGTGCTTTCTGTATTTATTATTCTTTCACCTACGTTCTCTTGAAACACCATGAAAGTAAAAACAGAATTAAATCCCTGAGAAATAAATCAGCATGCAATCTTGCAAAGTTGTTCTAAAAAGATTTTGGCAGTTAAAATAACCAACCAACCAACCACACACATACACCAAACAACCCCAAACTTAAAGAAGCCCTGGCTTTTAAATAAAGACAAAAGCCACTCTTCCAATGCATTAGTTCCGAAAGATTCTCAGAGTATTAAAGAGGCATTCTCTCACATTTCAAAGCTAAAACATCAGCCTCATCCTTCCTACAGACAGGAATTCAACTAGTCGCCGTATAAACCAACCTAAGTGGAATTTGAGAGCAACACTCCTACTAGCATAGTTACAGACCTCAGTGTTCCATTAACATTCTGCCAAGAACAACTTTTTGACCGTTACCTCTCTTAGATAACTCCTCCATCTTTAAAAAAAAGAAAGGGAGAGACAGAGAGGAATCTCTCAATGTAGGTCTTATAAAAAGTTACAAAACACTTCGTATTTGCAATAAGGGTTCTTATAAATTGATCTTCAGGTTTCCAGTCAGTAACAAAACAGGTCTGGTCACCAATGTAATTCCTTGCAGTGCAAAATATATGATAATGAACATTTAAAGGATAATTAGCAGAAGTCCTTATTAGTTAGATATTATGATATTATGTCATACTACCAAATAAATCCACTGAGCTTTGCCTTTCAAGACATCCAGTTCGGAGTTTTTGTTTTTTAAACATCTTTGTAAATGTGAACATCTATCCATTACTATTACCCAGAGAGATTAACTTCATTTTTTCTTATTCCCAACCTTTAAGTAAACTGGTAGGTCTCTATCCAATTGGTCCAGAAAACAACACAATGAGACTTTTCTTCCAGAAGACCGTCGAAGTCTGAAACAAAACTGTGTGTCCCCAAGACAACCTAGATATAAACAACAAATAACAGTATTTGGAATTTTTTATTCTGATCTTTTTTAAAGTGAGCAATTCTGTGATAACAATAAATAGCCTTCTTTTGAGCAAAAGGAAAAAAATGTCTCTGCCTCCCAGTGACTTCATTAGCTTTAAGGACTTAGATTGTCATGTCCCTAACAGCTCTACTAGTAGCTGTCCTCCCACTATTTTCCCATATTTTATTGGTCTGGTTCTACAGTTTTGATCATCTTGACCACATGTCATTTTGCTGTCGATAACTGCACTTAGCTTTTTTGATACCAAAGAGGGGAAGTTAATTTATCAGTCATACTGTAACAGTGCACCATGCTGACCTCTAGCTCCATGTGGATGCCTACGATTGGACTAGTATTCCTAAGGGCTAAAATACCAACTGCAGAAAAGTGAGTGAAATGCAGACTTCCTCAAGATGCTGACAAAATATAAATATAATACATATACATATATTTAAATAATATATTTTCTATTAACGCAAAGTCACATCAGGGGAGTTCCACAACAGGACAAGAACAGACGTTCCAGTAACACCTCCAAGGAGCGAAGTCTTCCTTCACTTCTATTCAAATGGATTTCTGAAAGGAAAATGTAGCTAAATGTACTAACTACTTGCAGTCTGCAAATAAATTAGGGCTAATTTTTGGATCAGAGCTCAAAGAAACTTTCCCCAGTGGAACATGAGAACTGTAATATCAGAACTTGTATCACCAATACCCTCACGGGTATTTTCTCACCATTAAAAATGATGTTTGCTGTTAAAACAGAGGAGGCTGCAAAAAATCCTAAAGTTCAAAGGGAAGATATATATAAGCTGAACAGACTGTGCTATCCATGGGACCAGTGGTAAGGGAGACAGGTAGAATCATTAGAACATGCAGGCACACTAGTCATCCTAGCAAACCTGCTTTAAAAAACACAAACAAAAACCCCTTTCAAAGTGTAACTAATGAACACAATCAACTGAGACAACCTCCTGAGCACTGCCAAGCTACCTTACAGCACAACATCCTCACAGAAGCAGTGTAAACCTTCATGTCAATGGCTACGGAAACTGATCTACTACTGAACTTGTAGCTACCGTTAGGGCAGTAGGCTTACAGATGGCAACGGACACATGCTAATCCATATTGAACAGAACTTCATTAGATCTTTGCTCTTACAGCTTTTGGACAAAATTTGCAAAGATCTCTAGGAAAAAAAAAATTCTGAAGTCAATAATTTTCCTCTGGACTCTACACAACTGTCCTGTGTTAAATCAATCAGTGCTAACTGACTAAATAACTGAGGCAGAGCTCCATTCTCCAGATAAATATTCTGTAGATTAAGAACTCAATTTCATCTTCTTGCTTCTCCTTCATCTACATACATACAAACGCAGCAAGAACCAATACCCCAAATCCTAAGCCAGATCCATCTGGCTGTGCAACTGGCAGTGTGGTTTAACGCTGTCACGTTCACAGCATTCAAGCCTGAGTCTCAGGACACCCAGAAGCTGCAGTAGAAAAACCACAATGCACCAAGACAAAATTGAGAGTAGCAAAACATTATACCATGGGCTACCCATGAACTGATCCAGACACGTAACCAAAACAAGTGCTGAGCCACATGGGCCCAACAAGGTAAATACCAAGAAAGATACCTTACATGCCAATAATAGAGCGCTAAATATTTTCTCCAAATTTATTCAGCTAGTTCCCTTAATTTGAGCAAACTAGGCTAATACAAAAAGCTATACAGAGAAGACCTAAATGTAAGCTACCTTTGATGATCAACATATTGAAATACCATTCAGAATTTGGTGGCTTCTTCTTTAGCAAGCTCTTCCTGTACGTAGAATTTGAAAAGGTAGGTAAATGTTCTTTCTTCAGCTATCCATGCAAAGACAGAAGTATTTTTTTTTAAAAAGAGAACTGTAATAAATAACTTAGCTTCAAAAACCCAAGGAGTGGCATGACCTAGTGCCTCATAAATCCTTTTTTTTTAAATTCATGATCATTACAAGTCTTAAACTGATTTCTGACCACAGTTGTAAAAGAAAAAAATATAAATTAAAATTCATCTTTCTGCTTCTCCCTTCTGCACAAGAAAATAATCAATGGATGATACTGTATGATACTTTTGTGTGCTTTTAAATCATGAAAACCTGGGACAGACTAACCTCAAATTAGCTGCAAGCTCATAGCTTCCTTTACTGTTATATTACACAAAGCTTTCTTTTCTATATTACAGTCTACAATGAAAAATAAATAAAGCAAAATGCATTTACTTCTACCTAATTTCTAGAACATGGCCTTTTATGCAGGTAATCCTGCCCCTCCCCCCATACCATTTGGGACTTCTGCCATGGATGATCAGGAACCTACATGTAGTCACATTATAAAAATCAAAAAAGTTGGTTTCTTTCCTGCTAAAAGTAAGCCCTCTTATTATATGTATTATATGTCTATTTTGCCTAAAATAACTTTATTATCGTTCTTATCTGAAAAAAATCAGCCCTTGTTCCTAAGGCATTATTTTATACCTTGAATACAGCTTTTGAATACTAGACAAATTTGCAGCCAATCACAATAAGAGTAAGACCCAGTTAGCTCATTTCCTCCTTCAATAATAAAAAGAAACCTTTCCTCTACTTACATACATGATATCAAGAGCAAACCTTAATTTTCATGACTTTAAAGTAAAAGGAAAAAATTTAGCTAAGACAGTTCATAAAGTCATGTACGCCAGAGCTCACATATATATTTAAAAGCACAGTTTTCCATCAACCCAAATAAGAGCTGTCATACTGCAGAGCAACCAAAAGCAGAATGAGAGCAGTTACAGAGACAAGTCTGTTACTAAGGTTTGGACTTTTGTTAGGCCATAAATGCGAAAGGAAGCGTCTGTACTTCTGCATCTCTTTTTGCAGGTGGTCCAACTCATCAGCCACATGCCTCCAACTCCTCTTTGGCAGCAGAACACGAAAAGTTTAGATGAAAGAAGAATTCAGCAAGCAGGACCACAAACAGAAGCAAAGAATGGAGAAGAAGATATAAGATAACCTAGACTTTTCCCTTCAGGACTTTTAAGTTCAAAAGCATTTAGAATGAAAAGTCACTTTCATTTTACAAATTTAGAAAATAGGTAAAATTTACAAGAGGGTCCTATATCCCTTTCATCAGCTTTATTAAACTCTTTAAATTCTGCTTCTACACTTCTCTCTACAATGACAATATTAATATTTTGTTTAAAAGAAATATTAAGAGATATGTTCTTTAATTGCAAAGTATTCTGAAACATCTGTGCGTGTGTCTTCTGGAAGGTCTTATATATTCACATTCCTGGTATTTCACTTACACAAAATAGAGAGTCCTCACCTTTTACTGAAACACAAATAATTACAGTTTTATATTTAACCTTAATTCCAACTTTTCTGTATCGTAATATTATTAACTAATTATGACATTCACATAAATCCCTTAATCTAACACCATGGACATATACTGTTAAATTTTATCTGTTTTAACATAGCTTAGTCCAACAATAGATGCACACTTCTGGCTACAGAATGAAGGAAGCACTTACCCGAATTGGAATCTGGAAAAGACAAATAGCAAATATTGGTTTTCTAAAGGGTGGAGAAAAGAAAGAGAGCGGTTATATTTCAAGAAATAACTAAATGAAAAACAAATGATTTATTGGTACAGCAACCATGACTCACCTCTTTATCTGAGAGTTTTGAATGTGGAGGATATATTACCTACAGAGGAAAAAAAAAGCAGTATTTTACTTGAAAATAAACTAGGTAAGTTAAGCAATAAACGTCTTTAAATATTTTAATGATACAAGCCTCACCCTCTTGCCTAGATCTAACTTATTTTTAATGGTAAGCTATTAAAACTACATGCCTCTTTTTACTTTTCACATGCTTTTAGGCTAAGTTGATCACCCGTTTTCGCAAGATATTTTGGAAGCCAACTGGAGACTGTACTGATACATTCCAAAATTCAGATTACTTTATTTGAGGTTTTGCTGCAACTGCAACCGGTCTTAAGGGAGAAGAGGATTACACCTCTTAGCTGTAA